TGTCGAGTTTCTTTCATAGTGTGAGTGGGGCATATTAAAACTTGGAGCTTCTCTCCTCTTTGTCTGAGTTCCAACAGTTGCAGGACTCCAGGAAGGAGGGGGCTTCCTGTAGCTGGATTTTTCCTCCCCCCTATCTTTCCTAACTGCACAGACAGATTTTTTAACCATTTGTTGTCTGGATTCTCTCCTAACCCTATCTAGAAATGACGCAGCTTCTTCAATATTTTGACACTGGAGAGCGCATGCAATTGATATTGGATCAAGATATTTAAATTTTTTGCAAATGCATTTACCATAGATTGTGGTGTCTGATCATCAGGAATACTCATTACCAATCTGTATGAACACTCAAATTTTAAAAGGAAACTGAAGACATTTTCATTTATATTTGGTTTTAATTTTTCTAAAATCTCCATATCCACATGCTCATTTCCTGTTGTTAATCTTATTAATTGTGTCAATCTATCTCGCTCATTCCCATGGACTATTTCACCATCTTCGTTATTAGGGGTACTTGTGGGTGGGGTCAGTCTACGTGCAATGTATGTTGGCAGCCATATTTTAAACAATCTGTTCCTCTGTTCGTTATTCAAATTATGTTTAGATAAATTAGACTCAAATACGTCTGCATTACCAAAGGCATCCATTGATGGATTATATGGGGGAATATCTTTGGTAACTTTCATCAGCTGCTCTTGAATTTTTAACTTAAGTTTTGCAGCCTTATCTAACAATTTTCTACATTGCAAATCAGACTGGGATGATGTTTCTGTGACATCAACTGGCTCTGGTATCAAATTATGATCACTCCTTGTAATTACACACAACTGTTTAGCTTCATTTCTGAGCTTACAAATTAATTCAGATTTGAGATCCAGCTGTTCTCCCAAATCACAAATACTTGCCTGTAGTCTATCACAGTTAGTACATTTCATTTCTGTTACACATACAGATTTCTCTTTAATGTCTGTCTGTGTACTTTTTAAATCTTGCACCTTTACTTGTGCTTGTACTTGCAATTTTGTTGGAGCCACTCCTGTTCTAAGGATCATTGTGTCAAAGGTTTCTACCATTTTTAAAACATTTCTAATTTTCTTTTTTGTTTTATTTAAACATAACAATCAATCAATAGCTGAATTTGCTTATTTACATTGCTCATACAAACTTGCCCACAATTGACTATCTGTATAGCATCTATTAAACACAAAATCAAGTTTACTTTTCTCTGCAATATCAGTAACAAAATCCATTATTACTCACCAGACAAGTTGATCTTTAATGCACGACACCGTCTGTCTTTAGTCTGCCTTTTACTCGTACAGCTGCGCAGTTCTGGGCTTGATTCTGGATGCTTGCCAATCTCTGCCACATGCTTGCTTCTAGACTTAACGTTGTATCTTGTGCTGCTTTCTTTATAACATGTGCTTTTGTCTGTTGTAGAATATAATCTTGGAACAGTCTTTGTGATTTAAAAAATCTTTGTTTTCTGATAAACACACACAGCTCTTAACACGGCTTTTAACACGGTTCTTTTTCTCTGTTTCTGGCTGCACACACTTCTATTCAACACAAAGAGTAATTCGATCCATCCTCTCACTCACTTCCTCTGCTCAATTCCCCCCTTAAAGGACCACTCTAGGCACCCAGACCACTTCAGCTTAATGAAGTGGTCTGGGTGCCTGGTCCCTCTAGGATTAACCCATTTTTTTATAAACATAGCAGTTTCAGGGAGGTTTTCTCTCCCCAGAGCCGGGCGGGAGTGGGACCCTGAGGGTGGGGGCACCCTCAGGGCACTATAGTGCCAGGAAAACGAGTATGTTTTCCTGACACTATAGTGGTCCTTTAATGGAAGTGTGGAATGCCAGAAAAACAGTCTAGCTGGCTCGTCAATGTAATAACTGGCTTTGTTTTTATTTAGTTGAACAAGTCTTTTATATATATATATATATATATATATGTAGATATTTCTTCTTGGGACAAATTTGCTCACCACATTAATATATGTCTATATTAATGAAAAGTACTAATACGCAATCTGACGTTCTTTATAAAAAATATGCATTTATTCTACTTCAACAGCAAACAATAATATACTTAACAGATGGTATTTCTTAACGACGTTACAGAGAGTCGTCTTTGTATCAGCAACTCGGGACATCAGAGAGGAGAGCAAACCGGATCGAAGAAGGAAGAGAGGGTGGACCTTTGTCCTCTGCCCTTTATAGCCCAAATCACATAATAACGTTTAGTTTAGACTCTGGCCATATACGGAAATTCCCCATATAAAGACCACCCCAAATCTCTTATACAGCAAATTCCAGAGACCTCATGGTACAGAATAGCAAACGCCATCTGTTCTGTTTAACCCATTAGACAGCCACACCTTAATATGTATATGAATAGGAACATATAGAATATGCAATATTCTATAATACCAGACCTGCACTCTTGAAATACCTGAGGCTCATCCATTAGCCGTACCATCTCCAGGAGTGTGTAAATAAGCGTGAGTCTCCCCTTGTTATACCTCTGAGTATTTCTTGCGTGGGGTACAGTGGTGCGGATCCATTAGAGAAGGTGAAATAAAGTGATCCAGTCTAAATATGTATCCTGCATGATCAGGCAGCCCTTTATAACGACATTGGTAGCACGGCCATTAGACGCCCCTCCATGCAGTCATCGTTGTCCTGTATAGGTACAAGCCTGTGTGATTAACAAATGGACGGCACCATAGTGCGTTGAGTGTATGAAAGAGCTGCACTTTCTAATCATGTGACCGAACTCCGTGTCAGCATCCGGCTGATCACCTGAGCGGGTCGCACCCATTAATAATCAAACAGTAGAGTCTACATCCGTGATCTGTTCTCTCTATGAGAATGTGTCACTCAAAACATTACCTCCGTATGCAGCTCAGTGACGGGCTGAGGTTGAGGGAGGGCATTGCCCTCTAATGACAATACAGTGTCCGGTTCTGTATATGAGAGGGGTTCGCTCTCTGTTCGTAAAAATAAAAAAATCATTCTCGGATCGAGGTGATGGATGGCCGCACCCTCTTGTAATTCAGACTAGAGTCCCTTAGAGACTCAGGGTGACCCACTGCAGGGGTGCATCATTCACTAATATCAGCATAAGATTGAGATCTTGAGGTGGGTCTCTCACTGACCACGAGACCTCTCTCTGAATCGCTCACCTGAGGTGAAATCAACTGGCAATAAACCGGACCGATGGAAGATGGAATAGTATACAGCCGCCCATCCTTAATAACAGAAAGGGATGGTGAGAAAATGTAACCTTCGGAAACAATGATGGAAACTACCAACTGACAGTGCGCGCGCGCGGGGTCCAGGATGACCGTTGGTAGTCTGAGGAAAGCTGGAGACGTTCTCCGCAATCCATGAGAGCCCGGGAGGTCGGAGGAGGTCAAGTCGGGCCTCTCGACGACCCGAGCGATAGGACAATTGGAAGGCTCGAAAACCAAGAAATGACAAATAATGTAGATAATGGTAAATATGAACCTCGGAGGGCAGGTAAATAGCAGATCGGAACATCAAGTCAGGTAAACCCAACTGAAAGGGTCAGGCGCTAAACATAACGTAGGATTAAATACCAATACCTAAGATGGATACCGGGACGGTAGCTAATGGCTATTTTCGGAGGTTTAGAGTCTTCATCCTTCCAATTATATTGAGGCGCTCGTATACTGGTGTCCTCTTAGATTGTAAGGCAGCAGTGCTTGCCTAGACACCCACCTATCACCATGTTAAAAGTGGGTACTGGGCTTTTCTCAGTGATATTCTCCCAGGCCTTTCGGGCCCAGATAGCTTAGGCCGAACAAAGGGCACAGACAGAGCAGGCCAGTCTGAAAGGCACAGACATAGCAGGCCAGTCACATTGGCACAGACATAGCAGGCCAATCAATGGGGCACAGGCATAGCAGGCCAGTCAGTGAGGCACAGATATAGCAGGCCAGTCAGTGGGGCACAGACAAAGCAGACCAGTCAGTGGGGCACAGACAAAGCAGGCCAATCAATGGGGCACAGACAAAGCAGGCCAATCAATGGGGCACAGACATAGCAGGCCAATCCATGGGGTATAGACATAGCGGGCTGCGTGTAGATGAGTAATGGGGACATCTGTGTTTGGTAGAGACCCCTAAATATTTGTAAATCTACAGGGTACCCTGTGACCTAGGACCCTTAGACGCCAACCCCTTTTAGGCAGTGTAATACTGTGCGATTAACATAAACTGGGACTAGCAGTCCTTCAATGTTCAGCTGTAATGTATAGGCTGAAAAGGTTCCAGTGATATAGTGCCAATTAACTCATGACATGCCTGGACCTACAGATCTGTATGAGGTTTCCTCATAGATCTATGCACCGTCAGTAAACCACCTGAAGGGTACTGTACCTATGGTATCTTACAGTAAGGGGTTAAACAATAGTCCACTCAATGCCCCTCATTGAGCTTGGAAGAGACCACCTTCAAACTCTACTAGTCATAGAAACCTAATAAATTGTACTAATGGCAGTAGAGACTGTCCTCCATTCCAGTTTGAAACCTCACATTAAGAGGATTCATCTCTTATTCCAAAGGTGAACCAGGAACATATATATTGAGGCACAGGGATTGGGACATAAGGACACAAGATAAAAGTGCAACATAAAACATTCACTAAACCTAGTTTAGTTTAACTCCCATTGGACTCTGCCCAAAAATATAGCATTAGCCTCTAGTGTCAAATACCAAGAGGTAAGCATGAAAAGTGTTAACAAACAATCCTCACTTAGGAGTCCTCCTCTAACTGGCGGGCTGGCTCTGCCTGAGCCGTGTGCAGCGTCTAAAATTCCTGTATGGTGATAAGCCCTTCATACATACGGTGTGTGTGTGAGATATACAAGCTCCCCTTTCGGGTCTCGATCCCATGACCCTTCACATATAGATGTGTGTGTGCTGTCTGCTCTGCCATATGAGCAGACAGAATCCCAGCCAGAGAAAATACCTCGTTCCCTGAGCACTGTGTGAGGGGGGGAAGCCAGTGAACGGGCGCACCCTCCTCCAGTCGGTCGGGTGCACGTGGGTCTGAGGGAAGCCGGCTGCGGCGAGGCGGCCACGTGTGTGAGCGGATCCAGCGGCCGGGTACTCGCATATGCACGCGGGAAGTCCCGGGCGCCGGCAGGCTTACACTAGAGCTCTGGGAATCAGAGGAGGCAGCCAAACGGCTGGTCTCCTGGAACCCCGAGTGAAGCGCCCGTAGTGCGGTGGCGCTTGGAAGTGGGGTGGGGGGAGGGTAAACTAACGGATAAGGCAAAGGAAGAGCAGGCTGAAGGTCTCCCCGGGAACCCCCCCCCATAAAACCCCCACTCTGTAAGGCAAAATATCCCCCCAAGCAGCAGAAGGAGCAAAGAGGAGTAGGGTGTAGAAACCCCAGACTAAATCTGATAATATATAATAAAATAATACATATAATATAAAACTAAATAATGTATATCATAACCAAATAACATATATAATATATAACTAAATAATATATATAAAATATATAAATAATAAATATATAAAAAACATAATATGATAAAATATAATACATATAAATCATAAAACCTAAAGCCACCCACTAGAAGCTGGAGGCAGTGGTACTCTGACCTGTACTGACTGCGGATCAGCAAAGAAAGAGGAAATGATGCAATGGGAAGGGAGTTTTTATAGTACCTAACTTTTTTCTGATTGGTTGTTTTCTGTGCTGCTGTGGAGTTCTAGTAAAGAGAGACTTAAGCAAATACGAAGCCTCCCGTCATGTTATAAAGTTGAAACCATTCCGACCCTGGTTGTTCCTACACTGACTGTAATGTCGCCACTGTGCCATCTGCCAATGAGGAAAGCTGTGCTCCAGACATTAACATTGCACTTCCAACCTATCAGAAAGCTGTGCTGCACTGAGGAATGTAAATAAAAAAATTTAAAATAAAATCCTATTGTCCTTATGACTGCACATGCCAAATATGTAAATGTATGATTTTCTATATACAATCATAGAATATCAAATAGAAATCATTATCATATTTCATGTACATTCTGTACATTGTCAAAAATACTATCATCTGTTTTATTTATAAAAAAAAGAGTGAAACTATTCTGAACATGTTCATTATTTACTCATAAAAGTTTCCACATGTCAGGAAATCCTAAAAATGACCAATGACTGGAATTCCTTCAACAACTAGTTCCCTTTTGTCATTCACATTGTTTTTCTGTCATTAAAGACCTGACAACTTCTGAACATAAATCAAAAGAACAGGATTTGTTTCATAATAAAATAACCACAATGAGTTAGGATAGAACATTTGTTAAAAACTAATTTTATTTAATGGGAAATGTGGTCAAACACTGCTAATTCGCTTTTAACTTTTAAACAAAACTTTGTGTTACGTTCTGAATTACTTTGAAGAGGAACATAAATGAGCCTGTGATTCATGTGTAATCAGTCATCTTTGCCAATCTATAATGAAAACCATTGCACAGATTGCACAAATGAAAAAAAGTTTGTTTGTTTTTATAATAATCACATGGTGCATCTTCAGGGATCCAATAGCAGGAATCGACAATCGTGCATTATTGTAATAGCCAGTGATAAAACAGTTTCCACACTGGGCAATGTTTATTTTTGTTTTCACATTTCCCCTCCAGACTTACTCATACTTTACATCTCTGGAATCTTATCTTGCGGATGAGAGCAAGCATCACACAAGCATTATAATGACCGTATGTATGCCATGCATAGATTAAACATGCATCATAGTGTGCTTCCTGCATCAAAACAATATAAGCAAACTTATCTTCTCATAGTGATGCGTATGAAGCAGTTCTCCATGTTGCACTTTTACTTTAACATAGGTCAACCACAGAATGTGCAAAAACAGAAGAGACACAAAGAATGTATCATTGTATGGGCCCGTGTGGGGTGGAGGGAGTAGGGGAATGTCTACTAAAGATTTCTCCAATGGGTCAGGGTACCCTAATTAATGAATGAAAATAATAAAATTAAAAACAACTAGAAACGAGTAGAGTGGACAAGAGCTAATATTTAGAGAAAGCAAATAAAATTAAATAGAAATATTATAGATAGCAGCACTAAGGAGACAACATTGAAAATAAACTAATGCCAAAGTTGAGAATAATCCTAGTACCATAAAAGCAAGCATATAAAAATACAAAACATTAAATAGCGGATGGAAAAAATAATCAAAAAAAATTAAATACAAAAAGTAAAAATACAAAATATATGAGTCTCTTGAATAAAGACTCAGATAAAGTTTTTTAAAAAGAGGCTGCAATATACAGTTGTGCTCAAAAGTTTGAATACCCTGGCAGAAAATTTTAAATTTTGGCATTGATTTTGAAAATATGACTGACCGTGCAAACAAATGTCTTTTATTGAAGGATAGTGATCATTTGAAGCCATTTATTATCACATAGTTGTTTGGCCCTGCTCAAAAGTTTACATACCCTTGAATGTTTGGCCTTGTTACAGGCACAGAAGGTGACATACACAGGTTAAAAATGTCAATTAAAGGCTAATTTCCCACACCTGTGGCTTTGTATATTGCAATTGGTATCTGTGTATAAATAGTCAATTAGTTTGTTAGCTCTCATATAAATGCACTAAGAAAACTAGATACTAAGCCATGGAGAGCAGAAGAAAACTGTCAAAAGACCTAAGTAAGATATCCAAAGCCTTGAAAATGCCAGTCAGTACTGTTCAATCACTTATTAAGAAGTGGAAAATTTGTGGGATCTCTTGATACCAAGCCAAGGTCAGGTAGACCAAGAAAGGTTTTAGCCACAACTGCCAGAAGGATAGTTCGGGATACAAAGAAAAACCCACAGGTAACCACAGGACAAAATGCAGGCTGCTCTTGAAAAAAACGGAGTGGTTGTTTCAAATAGCACAATACAATGATACTGGAACAAAAATGAGCTGCGTGGTCGAGTTGCCAGAAAGAAGTCTTTACTGCGCCAATGCCACGAAAAAGCCTGGTTACAATATACCCAACAACACCTTGACACAGCTCACAGCTTCGGGCACACTGTAACTTAGAGACCAAAATAGAGCTTTATGGTCACAACAATAAGCATTATGTTTGGAGAAAGAATACCATCCCCACTGTGAAGCATGATGGTGGCTCATTGATGGGGTTTTTTTGGGGGGGGAGCTCTAAAGGCACAAGAAATCTTGTGAAAATTGTTGGCAAGATGAATGCAGCATGTTATCAGAAAATACTGTCAGACAAAATTGCATTCTTCTGCATGAAGGCTGCACATGAAGGCTATGTAGTGACCATCACAGTCTCCTGACCTTAGCCACTCTTTGGAGATCTCAAACATGCGGTTCATGCAAAATGACCAAAGACTTTGCATGACCTGGAGGCACTTTGCCAAGACGAATTGGCAGATATACCACCTGCAAGAATTTGGGGCCTCATAGACAACTATTACAAAAGATTGCATGCTGTCATTGATGCGAAACGGGGCGATACACACTCCAGTGCCCTAAAAATGATATCCCTGAATTTTATGTTTTTGCAAGTATGGATCCAGTTGCTGTTTAAACATCTGCACAGACTCTGATAAAACCACTTCTTCAGGCAAAGAATTCCACATCTTTATTGTTCTTACTGTAAAAACATGTTTCCTTTGCCATAGGCTAAATCTCCTTTCTTCCTGTCTAAACATGTGACCTTGTTTCCTATGTATAGTCCTGTTTATGAATAGATTTCCAGACAATGGTTTGTATTGTGCTATCATATCTCCACTGAAGCATCATTGTTCTAAACTAAGGAGGTTTAAAAGGACACTATAGGCAACCAGACCACTTCAGCTCACTGAAGTGGTCTTGGTACAGTGTCCCTATTGCACTTAGTTCTGGAATGTAAAACATTGCAGTTCCAGAGAAACTGCAATGTTTACATTGCAGCACTAATTCTGCCATACAGCCACTGGAGATGCTTCCTGCATCCAAATGGACCATTGATCTGGTATCTGATGCTGGACGTCCTCACGCTCTGCATGAGGACATCTAGTGTCAGATTTTTCCCTGTAGGAAAGCATTAATTCAACGCTTTCCAAGGGGGAGGACTAATGCACGTGCGGCCTTTGCTGCCCTGCTGATCGTGAGACACCAGAGGAGGCATAGCTGCAACCAAGCACCGAGTGACATCGGCGCTGGGGTAAGGCAAGGCAATAAAGGGATTTTAACCCTTTATTGACCACCACTGGGGGTGTCGAGGGAAGGGGGAAGCAGAGGGAGCTATAGTGCCAGAAATACAGCTTTGTGTTCCTGGCACTTATATTATCCCTTTAAATGTGTTCTATTCATATTATTAATCTCGTAGCCTGCCTCTGCACTTTTTCTAGTGCCATAATATCCTTCTTTAGAACAGATGCCCAAAATTGTACAGCACATTCAAGATGTAGTCTTACCAGTGATTTAAAAGGGGCAAAATTATATTTTCATCACAAGAATTAATGCTCCTTTTTATACCTGACAATACCTTACTGGCCTTAGCCACTGCTGTTTGACATTGCACAATCCTTCTTGTGTGTTGTTATCCCAAATTCACTACTATTTAGGGTATAAGTTGCTTGTGCATTCTTTACCCTGAAGTGCATAACTTTGCATTTTTCTACATTCAATTTTATCTGCCATTTGTGTGCCCAGTCTCCCAATATATCTAAATCCCTCTGCAGCATAGTAATATATTGCTCGCATTGTATTACTTTACAGAGTTTTATGTCATCTGCAAATACTGAAACATCACTTTTAATGCTTATTTCAAGATCTTTTATAAATCTGTTAAATAGAAGTGGTCCCAGAACAGAAGCCTGGGGGACACCACTTACCACCTCTGTCCATCTTGAAAATGTACCATTAATGACAACTCTCTGTACTCAATTTTTTTTCCATTATATTTCAGACTTGTATATTTTAGCTGATGCTTCTGTATTTCAGGCTTTGGTACTCTTGTCATCATAAATATCTCCTAAATATCTCCTTCTCCTCCTTACCCTTAGGTCTCTTATCCTTTCTTAATCATCTTTTCTTTTTAGAGTTTATAGATGGCAAGAGACGAAAGGAAACAGAAGGGATTAACTTAATTATTAATTTCCTAATACCCCCTACCCCTTTACCCAATTTCTTAAATATTATTATAGATTCTTGTTTATTAATCTTTTTCCCTACCTATCTTTGGAGAGAGACAGCACACCTTACGCCTAATGTAATACAATTGATTTCG